TGACGGTCTCTTCATATTAAAACGCATATATCTCTCAAACCGTAAGGAATTTGGCGAAACGGAGGAAGCGAACCGAAGCCTTTGGCTGGGTTCGGATGGCTCCGTCTCGTCGAGATAGCCGATTTTCATATATAATTCGTCCAATTCCAACTTACGGTTTGAAAGTTATGACCTGTTCTTCGCAGCAAGTTATGTTCTGAAGTCCGTCTGCAAGACCGGACTTCATCAGAACATTGGACTTAGCCTGAAGCTCGCCGAGCCCGCCTAAGGTTCGTCTCTGCATTACAGAGTCAAAACGCACAGGTCGAACCAGCGTTATAACCTCAAAACGCAGAGTTTATCCTCGTGATATAACATCAAAACGCAGAGTTACGACCCAACTGTGCGTTTTCAGCCTAAAAAAGGCCAATCTGCGTTTTCAGCCTAAAACACAGAGTTCATATCTAAAACAGCACGACATGTGCGTTCTCAGCCTAAAATAGGCCCAACTCTGCATTTTCAGCCTAAAACGCAGAGTTCATCTCTAAAACAGCACGACATGTACGTTCTCAGCCTAAAACAGGTCCAACTCTGCGTTTTCAGCCTAAAACGCAGAGTTCATCTCTAAAACAGCACGGCCTGTGCGTTTCAACTCCCAGCGAGCGCCCAACTCTGCGTCTCATCTCCACGACGCAGAGTTAAGGTCCGAAACGCAAGCGGCCTGTGCGTTTCGACTCCCAGCGAGCGCCCAACTCTGCGTCTCATCTCTAAGACGCAGAGTTAAGGTCCAGAACGCCAATTTAGGCGTTTGACTCGTTCAAACACGAACTAAACAGTTTCAGGAACTGTTTTCCCCCACGATTTGAGGGATTTCCGCCCCACTTAGGAGCGGATTAAGGGGATAGTTACCACCCTTAATCCCCTATAAATATGAGAAACTCAATTGAGTTAAATGATCGGATTTTGTCTCATCAACAGAGGGAGATTCGGTCAAGAGCAAGCTTGGTAGCAAAGAAGAGCCTTCATCCTTCGGCTGGGATTTTGGAGATCGGCAATAGGAGCTTCTTCATCCTTGGCTTATAACCAACTTTCGGTTAAATCAACTCTTCCATAGAGTTTAACTCGTTCAAAGTTATCAACTCGTTAAGAGTTATCAACTCAATCAGAGTTCAAAACTTGCTCTGCAAGTTCTTCTAAAACTCGCTCTGAGTTATCAACTCGTTAAGAGTTATTTTTAAACTTGCCACGCAAGTTCTCCACAGCGTCAAACCGTGAGGAGAAAATCACGTTCCCGTGAATCAAAATGTGCGGATCGTCAACGGAGAGCAAACTCGACGCGAGCATTCGAGGGAGGCACTCCATCGCCACCGTGAAGAACCCAGTTTTAAACAAAGGGGAGAATCAAATTTATTCTCCTCTCTTTTGTAATCAGAATCCAAATTGTAATCGATTTTGAGAGAATACAAGTCAATTTTTCTTTCACTGTCTTTTTACTGCAAATTTCCAACAAATAGTCTTAGAAACACAGTCTGTTTCCAATCCCAAAGGACAGATACCTGTCATCTTAGGACGACCCTTCTTAGCCACTTCTAATGCTCTCATCAACTGTAGAACTGGTCAAATGAAGCTGTTCTTTGGGAATTTGACTGCTGATCTTAATATTTTTAATCCAGGGAACTAACAAAATAATCAGCCTCTAGAAATAAATTACATTCAGGAAAGATCAGAAGAAGAAAAAGAAGAAGAGTTTGATTTGAGTTTTGAGGAAATTTTTGATGAAGAGTTAGAGTTTTTGGAAGAAGCAGATCAGGTCCCTGAGAATAATAAAACTGTGTTAAATATTTGCTGCTTTGAATTAAATTTTGAAGAACTCTTTCTTGATGAACTTAGATTTTTGGAGAATAATCAACAACCAAATTTTTACAGAAGAATTGGTTGTTAGAAAACAAAACTTCACAGTACAAGAGTCTAAGTTCATTAAGAAATGTAAAATGCATGACACCAATAATACCTACATTACTTTGTTGCAAGAATTATTAAACACCCCGAAATGCTTAAAAATTCACATTATTGATTATATCATTCTGAATTTGTTTAAAATACGGGGAAGAATTTTCAACAGTAAGGTAGGATTCAATGTAGAACAGGAACTCTTCATGTTGAATATTTTATTCTATATTGTTTATTTTGTTTATTTTAGAATAATAAAAAGAATTTACTCTTCTCTCATTTGAGAGTTTCTTGTTCAGTTGTTAAAAAAAAGAAAAAAAAGAAAAAAGGGAAAAAAATAAAAAAAAGAAAAGAAAAAGCGAAAAAAAAGAAAAAAAAATTTTATTTCATCCTCCTCAGACCAAAGGTAATTGCAGATTTTTATCAACCGACCAAATGTAAGTGATTCACTTCTTATCTGCTTTACTTCATCATAGAGTTTGCATTGAGGACAATGCAAAATTTAGGTGTGGGGGTGGGAATTAGTTATTTTTTCTCTTTATTTTACATTTTTAGTTGCATTTTTGTCTTTTTTTTCTCCTTTTCCTTAAAAAAATTATAAAAATATCGTCACATGCCAAATTGATAGAGTTATGTAATAATTGATTTATTTGATGAATTTTAAATCTGTTATTTACTCAAGTTCACCTTTTATGATAACTCTAAATAAAGTTCTTAAGAAATGATTTTCAAAGTAGTATACTTTACTTAAGCCTTAACTTAGTTTTTTATTTAAAATAATGGAATACATGCTTAGCTTAGAGTTAAAAATAATTCTTCAAAGTGGCTTGACTTACATATTTTTTAGTATATATACACATATACATATAAAAAAAATTACAAAAAGAAGAGTGCGAAAAATGAGCACTAAAAGAAAAAAAACTCTTAAATTCAAGGTGATTCTATCTTATAAAGCCTAAGCGGATCGAGTAATTAAGCCCAAGGAGTATTTTCATACTTAATGACCTAAGCCCAATTGGGTTGGGATCCATTAGCCCAAAACTCGTTAAATGATCGCTTAGAAAGCCCGTTAAAGTAGAAAAAAAATCACCAAGGAAGAAAGAGTTAAAAATAATAATAATATAAAAAAATAAAAAATACTAATAAATGTTTTATATATAGTTATATTTGTATATATGGTCTTCGAAAATATTTTAGATCAAGCAACTTGAATATTATTTTAAACAAAGAGTTAGCATGTTCTTTTCAAAACTTTTAAATTAAATTTCTAAGTTTGGCTTGGTTTTGTATTGCTATAATGAGAAGATTTTCTAGGAAATATACCTTAAAGTTATTTATAAAAACGTTTTCTTGAGTGATAACTAGCTATAATTAGATTGTCTAAAGTTATCAAGTGAATTTAGTTATTCACTGACTTCTTTAATTTGATTTAATGAAGAAATGAAGCCCATGAAGCCAAAGGAATTCTTTCAAATAATTCAAAGCCCAATGGAAAATCAAGAGAAAATGCCAAGCCCAAAAGTCCAAGCCAAAGCCCAAGACACAAGCCCAAAAGCAAAATACAAGAGTTCTGCGGACAGCAACAGGAGAAGAGCAGGCATCGATGCCCGCATCGATGCCTGTATCGATGCCCGCATCGATGCCTGTATCGATGCCCGCATCGATACCCCTATCGATGCGGGTATCGATACGGACGTCCAGGCAGTTACAATCCAATGGCTGATTTTTGTTGGTTTTGGATAAGATTTGAATCCAATGGCTCTCATTCACTGATGTTTACTATAAATAGGGGTAGAGAGTGAGGGGTTAGGGTGAAAATTTTGTAAACTCCTTTTGGAGAGGAGGGCTACTCTTAATTGAGAAGGCCTTCCAAAAAGTAACTTTTTGTTACAATTAATAATAATAATTTTTTTTACCACTTTAAATATTTCTTCTCTTTGTTGGATGATGAAGATGGAGATGAAGAATTATTTAGAGGTTTTCATTTCTTTTCTTTTTCTCTTTTATTTCTCTTTTATTGCTTATTAGTTAGATTTATTTTCATGCTTGTAATTAGATTTTATTTTCTTGTTTAAATAGCCAAGAGGCTAGAACCCTCTTGCCTTAGATTTATTTCATGCTCATAGATTAGATTTATTTTATGCTTATAGAGTAGATTCATTTTCTTGTATTTTGGTAATTTATTTTATAGTTTAGATTTTGTAATTTATTTTGTAGTTAGATTTTAATTTCTTGCACTATTCATAATTTATTTTATAGTTTAGATTTTGTAATTTATTTTGTAGTTAGATTTTAATTTCTTGCACTATTCACGTTGAGGCTAGAACCCTCTTGGATTTAGTTTTTCTTTTTGTTTATTTTTACTTTCTTTGATTCGCCTTTAGGCTAGAACCCTCTAGGGAATCACTTTTTTTCTAATAAGAGGATTCAATTCTAGATTACCCATATCTTTAATTGAATCCGCTATCTTTACATTCTTGATTTTTTATTTGTTTCTCGATTTTATTCATTCTTCCTTCTTGCCTTGTTGATCACACCTATTTACACACCATTTTCGCTTAATCATTCTCTCCACAATCACATTCACTCATCACTCCTATTTTGTCACGCACACAACATAAGAACCGATTTTATATTTTCTCCTACAAAACACCTTCCTCGTGGGATCGATAACTCTTTATACTATAACTTGACACGGTTGTGCATTTGCAATATTTTTGGTACATGTTTATACCGCATCATTAGTACATGTAATTACTTAACAATCATGATAACTTCTAATATTTTATGTTATCTTTCATGAAGTTGTGCTCATGTTAGTTTTCAGATTAACATGTTAGCTTTTCATAACTTTTATCCTTAATTTTGTGGATTTACATGGTAATGGGGACCTGGATATTTTTCAGATTGTCTCCCATCATATCAGTAAAGCGCTTGAAAGAGAAAATGAAATAGAGAAGTTAACCATTGATCAGCAAATTCAGTTTTAGAGGAATATAGCCAAATTAAATTGGAAATTGCTCCATGCCACAAAGCATAATAAGCGCCTTCAATGAGATGCTTGCTCTAAGGAGATACATAGGCTGAATAGCAAATTGGTGAAGTACGAAGGAATTGCTGACCTGATTGATCCCGATGACCTGATGAAAGATGTGGAGGCTATTATGTCCAAGAGGAAAAGTAGTGTTTATAGCACTGTCAAGGGTGACGATGTCGATTGCTTCAATTATGACGATGTGTACAATATTGGTAAGGAAACCTTTCATATTGCGGAGGATGTAGCGCAATCAGAGCATGAGGTAGATAAAGTTGACCAAGATGAAGATGAAGAGAAGGGAGGGGAAGATAAACAGGAAGAGATGGAAGAGAGAGAGCAGGAGCAGAAAGAGGAAGATAAAGAGGAGGACAAGAAGAAGATAGAGAGGAGGAACTATTTGAGGAAGATAAAGAGCAGGAGAAGAAAGAGGAAGATACAGATATAGATGAGAATGAGGAAGATAGAACGGAGTACTTTGAAGAGGAAGATAGTGAGCAGGAGATGAAAATAAATGACAAAGAGGAAGAGATAGAGTAGGACATGATTAAGGAAGAGAAGGAAGAAGAGAAGAGAAGTGTAGAGAAAGTGGTCGAGATGAGAGTGGATGAGAAAGAGAAGGAAGAAGAGATGAGAAGTGCAGAGAAAGTGGTGGAGATGAGAGTGGAGGAGAAAGACTTGCTACAAGTTTATCAAAAGAGATTGAAGAAAGTTGTTTCCAAGGGGACAAGGGGACCAAGTACCAGAATCAGGACGCGTTCTCAGCTAGTCCGGTTTCCAAGGGGACAAGGGGACCAAGTACCAGAATCAGGACGCGTTCTCAGCTAGTCCGAACACCTTTCATTGAAGAAAAGAAGAAGGTAGCCCATCCAGATATAATTACAATTTCACACCATAAGGAGGATGATAGGAAAAAAATCAGGTACTACTACAAGCATGGTGAATGCACTTGGGATTTTCAAAAGAACAGGAAAATCAAGAAGAAGGAGGAGGCTCTGATGAAGTTGCTAAACGAGGGTATTCCTGTTGTTGATGATTTTAGCATACGCTTGGTTGACAGTGAAGGAACATTTGTTCATAACTTTAGAATACCCCACCATATAGCGACAAAGCTAACACTAGAGGAGAACAGATGGGTCTCAGAGTTTTGCAATAAGAAAGCTCATCAGTAAGTTTAATTTATGTGAACTAATGATGATAGAATTATGTTAACTTATGCCCATTTTTGTTAACCTTTGCTAGACCATGTTATTGTTCACTATTATATGTTAACATTTCCAGAATATATGTTAACTTTTGACCATCTATGTTAACCTTTGCAAGTTCGATAATGTTATTGATGATTTTACATGTAAACTTTTGACCATGCAAGTTAACTTTTGGCCATTTATTTTCACTGTTATATGTTATTTTAATTTATGTTAACCTTTGCATGGACATCCTGCTATTACATGTGCACGTATCGATAACAACTGTTAATGTTTGTATCTTTCTGTCATATATCAGGTCATGTATTGTTGTTAATACGTCCAACAGTAGCATCGATTCTTTGGAGCTTCTCAATCTACTACGAGGAGGACGTATTAATGACCATGCAAGTTTAATTACCTCACTATATGCATTTCTGTCTTTTACAAGTGTTGTGCTGTAGTACAATTTAATGTGTATATTATGTATGGTATATTTATAGGTCATGGAAGCTTTGATCGATAGAATTAACACATAGCAAGATAGGCCAGAAATTGCTCCAATGAGCCATAATTATGGGGTTGTATCGGTCTTTTTCTGCGTAAGTTGTTAATTTTTTGCTACTAAGTTTCTTTAGCAGTTGTTTACTCCTGGCATAACATTATATTCTTGGCAATACAACACACCCTTCATGCAAACACTCCTTATTTCTAACATATCTATACTTCATTTATACAAAAGCATGTTGCTACGAGGAAGAATATACTCCTTGTCCCGCTTGTGCGTCAGGACCATTAGCATGTTGCTGAAGTCAGGTTGGATGAGGACGTTATCAAGCATTACAGCTCAGCTACCCACGATGCATGGCTCGAACCGGTGAATAAAGTAATTGGTTTCATGGATCATCTGATGTCTGGTTTTGATCCTGATAATGTTTGGAGGAAGTTCAGATATGAAGCTGTCCCTTGCGAGCAATAGTCTGGAATGTTAGTATATCATAAGATTATCTTTTTCACCACATCCAACATCATATATCTAACATAACTGTTATTTGTATTTTCGCGTTGCAGTTTTGGTTGTGGGCTTTTCGTTCTCTTATACATGAAGGCTATAATCAATGGGGTTAATACGATTTAGGTAACTAATCCAGGAGACAATTCTACCGTCATCCGTGCCAGGCTTGCAGCCGAACTTATCGTGAAAGGATGAGGACAGAGACATCAACAGGATATTGGATCACATGATGAGTGAAAGTGTTATCATTATGTAGTAATTGAACAAGTTAACTATGGGAACAAATGTAGTCTTGTATATATTATTTTACAGCACAGGATGGGTGTAAATGTAGGAATTGAAACTGGTTGACGATGGTAACATAACATTGTGATTGTATATTAATTGAACAGTCTTCAATGGATGAAAGTTTGAAACTTTTTGTTAAGGTATTTCTGCTACCAACGGCTAAATGCCATGCAAATGTTGAAAGTTAACCTGTTTCAGCATAAGTTAACATATGTTGCTGAAAATTAACCAGTTTCAGCAGAAGTTAACCAGTCTCAGCTAAAGTTAACCAGACTCAGTAAAAGTTAACACGATGCAACAAAAGTTAACCAATTTGAGTAAAATTAACCAGGGCAGCCTGAAAGCTAACCACTTTGGATTAGATCAAATAGCACTGAAAGTTAACCGCTTTCAGTAAAAGTTTACAAGTTGATCTTTAATAAACTTTTAAAAAAACAAGCTTTAATTTTTATACCACAGTGTAAATATTATGAACTGCACATGTTTCAGTTAATTTTCAACTTGTATATCATAATGTTTAAGCAAATTAGAACCACACAGAAGCAACATAGAAAGAACGAACAAGTTTTCCATTTTTCAACGTCATGATTCAATTGCTTCAATGCTTTCTTCAACTGTTTTGTTTTGGCTGCTATCTCATCTTCAACAGGTAATTCTTGGTGAACGGCCATGTTCTCCTTCACTGCATTAGCATTGTGAGCCCAAACAAAAAACTTGCATTGCCTATTTGAGAACTTTGCACATCCCCAGCAGTATCTACCTTTGTTGATCCTATTTTTGCACTGCTTGAGGGGGGTTGGAATTTTGCAGAAACAACATACCTCTTGTAGTGCTATAGAGCCCTCCTCATTCTTCATCTCACAATCTCAAAATGAGTTTTCACGGGATGGTAGGAACAAGAGATAAGGTTTTACCTGGGCTTTGCATAACATTATCTATTACATATTGGAATTGATAACTAGTCGTTGGAATATGTCTGTTGGAACAACTAATCAGCTAGCTGTTGAACAGTCACCTAGATTTGAGAATCAACAATCATTTAAACTCAAACTTTGGGGTTGAAGGGTATCCATTTCAGCTAAAACTAGTAGTAGTACAGATACAGTTATATGTTAACATGTTCAAGTACAAAATTCAAAACATCTTGCTGCCTTGCAGCAGATTACACCTGTCCCATGATATATAATGTAAACTTAAATACAACTTATATTTCTCTAGCGCCATTCTTGTTGTAAGAAGCATAACACACTAATCACCGATGGGCTGGTTGTAAGTTGCTCGGTTGTGCCCCTCAGCTTTGCATCGACCACATTTGACTGGACGTTTTAAGATGGGTCTGTTATTTATGTGTCTTGTTCTATTTTTTCCCCTCCTCTTCGTGGTAATTGGTGGTAAAATCTGGATTTCATCCCTAGGCACACTCCGCTTCTCATAATCTGGTATGGGATATAATATTTTATTGTAGCTCTTCTTAAACGCTTCTACGGACATGAACCAGTCATAATATTGATATGCCTCTCTTTTCATATAAATGATGTCTGCACAAGCATGCACATAATGAATACGAGTTACGTCCCAAGCACGGCAAGTGCATATCCTCTTCGTCAAATCAACGCGAGTGGTTCTATGTGATTGCACTTCGAATATATCATCTCTATATTGCTTAATCTCTAAAGTAGATCCCTTTTCCATATGTTCTCTAATAATCTTCTCAGCTTTAGGACAAAGATAGCTTAATTGTCCACTTATCAGCCATTATGCGTCTGTTGTTCATGCGAGTCATAATTTGTCTGCGGATATGCTCCACCATTTGTAAGATACGAGACAATCGAGCATCACGTATCCAGCTGTTAAAGGATTCTATAACATTAGAGGTTACATGACCATATATGATACGTGTTGCCGTACGAGCACCTTTGATCGCAAAATTATCAAAGATGGGTTGAGGAGAAAACAATAAGAACACAAGAATGACTCAGGTTTTGGGCGAAGGAAAATACTTTCTCTAGATTATGAGTATGCACTTTACAATCTCTCACAATCTCACTCTAGAATTGAAGAACAGGCTCTCCAAATCTCAATTACAATCTAATCTCTCTTGATTAAACTCTCTGATTCTAGAATTGAAGAACAGGCTCTCCAAATCTCAATTACAATCTAATCTCTCTTGATTAAACTCTCTGATTTCTGATTGCTTAGAAACCCTAAAACAATCCTTTATATAGGTGTATAAATATGGATGGCAATCTGATAAATAACCAAGCCTAAAACCAACAGGAATTCGTGTGAACAGAAACCCAACCAAATCAGGAAACCGTCAATGAGTCGACTCAAAACTGCATATGAGTCGACTCATGACTGATGAGTCGACTCATAAACTGATGAGTCGACCGAGGAAAAACTTTTGACAAAATGGCTGGGTTTCGTGAGTCGACTCATGACAGTCATGAGTCGACTCAACCTGATGAGTCGACTCATGTTCATGTATGAGTCGACTCACGAGCTGAAAACTGGATTCTTCAAATCTGCTACTCGTCGTCTCGTTCCACGCTTCCACCTGCGTTCCACTGTACTATTTTACACCCCTATTCTCATGCTATCATGAGAATCATCTATCCTGAAGCTCCCATGAGGATCGCTAAGCTCCTGAAGAGAAGATACACCCGTATCATGGGTCCTCTCTTTAGGAACTTGAAGTCCTGTTCAAGTTAGAACTTTTGCTGAGGAAACTCTCGAGCTCCTCCATCTTTTCTGCACCATCTGGCCCTGCTAGGAACCTAGTCTCGACGTCCGATCGAAAACATCTCATCCATCCCGCGTCTCGTCGTAATCACCTTTCGCCCCAAGTTGCAATCCTTTATCGATGGCTTTTCTGAAAGTCTAATGCACAGCGAGACAAACTTCTTACTTGCATTCACTAGTCTCTTTGCTCGCGTCACCGTCCCCAAGCTTGTCTCC